GATGGGAAGAAAAGCAATGACTATGGACTGGAAACATATGTTACGAATAAGAATCAAAGAATCTTTTCCGCGGTTTTACGAAATTCTCGGTAATATTCTACCGCACACCGAAATCGTCAAATTCTTTACACGCGTTATCATGGAGACCATGGATTACAGAGAAACCAATAATATCAGTAGGAACGATTTCATTGATATGTTGCGTGAATTAAAGAAGCATCCAGATAAATTGGGCGATATTAGTAAGTACTGACTATTTTTATGTATTGCATTTTTTTAATAGAAAAATTTTTTTATAAAGACTTATACAAATTTGTATTTAAATTAGTTTAAAAATTACAAGATGCTCAATTTTTGTTCTTATTATCAATTATTATGATTAAAATTATTAAATTACAGTTGTATTGAACATAATCAATCTATATATATAAAATAGAATGTATGTATGTATGTATGTATGTATGTTCTTTATACACTCTTAAACTATTCGACCGAATTTTTATTAAAAGTATATAAAATAGGGGTAGAATTTTCCGGGGTGTGTTATAGAGTGTATAGTTTTTCATTACCGATCTTTTTGGAAACCGGTATCCGAAATTTTTCCAATTTTTCGGGAAATAATTGACCGAATTTCAAAGAATCTATATATGAAACAGGGGTAGAATTTCCCGGGGAGTGCCATAAAGTGTATAATTTTTCGTTACCGATTTTTTTGGAAACCGGTATCCGAAATTTTTCCAATTTTTCGGGAAATAATTGACCGAATCTTAAAGAATTGTATATAAAACAGGAGTAGAAATTTCCGGGGAGTGCCATAAAGTGTATAATTTTTCGTTATCGATCTTTTTGGAAACCGATATCAGAAATTGTTCCAATTTTTCTGGAAATAATTGACCGCGAGTAGAAAAAGATTGGTTACGACATGTTTAATCCATTTCAATAAGGATATTGAAACATAAATGAAGTTGTTTTAAGAAAAACGACTCCCGGGCGAAGCCCGAGTAACCAGCTAGTTTATTATATATAAATTGTAAAATTATTAAGCAGTTCGATAAAAACTTGAATTCTTTATAGTAAAGAGAAAATGATGTTTCAGATTTAACTGATAATTTAATAGCTTCTCAAGCGTTTGCATTTTTCATTGCTGGCTTTGAAACTTCGTCGACGACAATTAGTCACGCACTTTATGAGTTAGCGTTAAATCAAAACGTACAAGACAAGCTCCGTGAAGAAATTGACGAGGTCTATACAAAGCATAGCGGAGATTTAATACACGACAATATCAAAGCGATGGATTATTTAGATAAAGTTTTCAAAGGTACGTTGTTTGAGGAGAATATCAAGTAAGAAAGAAATACACTATTGTCTTTTTTTCGAGCGATATTATAATATGATCTCATTACTGATAAACTTCAATCTAATTA